TTTGCTTCATTTCAGGGAATGCAAAGTAGAATGTCCTACAATATTTTTTTTTTAATTCGCTTCTTTGCTTCATTTTGGGGGATGCAAAGTAGAATGTCCTACAATATTTTATTTATTTAGTTTCTTTGCTTCATTTCAGGGAATGCAAAGTAGAATGTCCCACAATATTTTTTTTTATTTCACTTCTCTGCTCCATTTCGGGGAATGCAAAGTAGAATGCATCGTAGTCAGCGGAAAAATATAATGAATATCCAAACATTCTTTTTATACCGTTGCTTTCTGTGGAAATTTGTCTCGCATAAAAATCATGTTTTGCGTTGTTCAATTTACAGCGAAGTTGAAGTCAGTCAATAAAGTGAATTACGTAAGTGAAGAAGTGTAAAAAGGTCAGTGATAAAAATAAAATGCTAAGCAAGCGGCATTTGAAGCGTTTAACAGTTTCAATTCGGAAATAAATGCAATGAGAGGTACTATTTTGAAATTATAACACTCGAAATAAATACACTCACTAGAAAAATTTTCCGTAGAGATTTTTTAAATAATTAAAATATTTGTCATAAAAGCACTTTTTCGTTCATCTTTTATAAAAATAGAGTTCATTGTATAATATGAGCCAGTAAATTGTAAATTTGCAACTTTTCTTAAAAAAGTGAAATTTTGCTTAAAATTTCGAAACATTTTCTGAATTTTAAGCAATAAATTTAAATAAATAAATGAACAAGTTGTACACAATATCATTTTGAATTTCGGTGCTAATTATTTGAACGCCGGTGTATGTACTTTACATTTACTTTTGCAGGCTTATACGAAACAAATTTGGAATGCATTAAAAATATTTTAGCAGAACAAAGCATATTAATGAAAAATTTCACAGAAAGCTTATACCCTGTACCGAAATTTGTATCACTGTTTCCCATAAAAACACAGGAAGAACTGGATAGCATTGAATCCCATACAAGCACCGAAAATGAAACCCAAATGGTAAGCACTTTTATCTTTATAATTTTTTTTCTTAATAAAAAGATATATACCTACTATATATCGTCGCCACATTGTCGAACTAACCGATGCGGAAGAAATCATTTCTTTAATAAGCGAGAAATTCCACGGGTTTTCTGATAGAAAAATCAATTTGAAAGTATCGGACATGAAATAATTTATTCACATTCGTTAGTTTAGCATTGGCGACGATGTGTATATACATGCATAAGTATGTATGTATGTATATTTATAAATTTATCTAATAAAAAATATTCATAAATTTTGTTATCACTTTTAACAGGTTGCAACCGTTTTTCACGTTATTAAGAATGGCGGCTTTAAATCAAACTTGCTGTCGATTTTTAGCGAAAACGTTATAATGGACCACAACATTGATGGTAAACAAGGCAAGACCCCGCTGCTCCGTTATACGAAGCTTATGAATGTCTTTATTCGTAAGTACATACATACAGTGAATCAAACAAATGACCAAGTGTTGATTGTTTAAATATTCGTAATGTTTTTCGAGCTATTTTTTTTTGTTATTCTTTTTTAAAAATTTACCGTCCAAGCTTTAACCAAAACCATATAAACCACAATTTCAAACTTAATTTAATTGAAAATATAAGAAAATTCAACAAATTTTCATCAAAACTTCAGCTTTTTAATTTAAATCTTAAGAACATTTTTGGGTAGGCAGTTTTATAGCCCATACAATTTTACTCTAATGAAGTGCAAGTTTCAAACCCGTTCAACACGTGTTCATTTGTTTGAGCCACTGCATGTGCTTTGTAAATTGCTTTCAATATATAGATACATATATAGTTACATTTCTCCTACCAACGATTCAATTTATTTTAAATATTTATCCGACAGAAGCGGCTCAAAAGCTTGGCGTTACTGAAAACGAATGCCTGCTGGAATTGCGTTGCGCATTTAAATCGGTCAAAAACCGCCATCACAAGGCCTCTTGCCTGAAGAGGAAACGCTCAGGACCTGAAACTGAAGCGACAACAGAAGCAGCATCTGAAGCTACAACAGAAGCAGCAACTGAAGCTACCACAGAAACTACATCAGACTAAAGTCTAACTAAAATACTTAACATTAAGTTTTATTTCCATAAACATATATTTATACAACAAACAAAAAAGAATGAACTGAATTATAACCTTAAGTTTAATTAAATAAGTATATACATATGTATGTACATGCAGCGAATCAAATATTTGCAATGCATTTTAAGTTAAAATTTTTATTATTTTTATTTTTTATAAAAATATTGTTTGCTTTAACCAAAACCATATGAATCAAAGTTTCGAACGTAATACAAAATTCAGAAGAATTGAATTCATTAAAATTTAGAATTTTTTAATCTGAAATCTTAGAAAATGTATTAAGTTTTTTAGCCCATACAATTTTATTATTATAAAGTTCAAGTTTCAAGAGACAAAGAAAATGCGTTGATTTTTTATGAAAACTGCCACAGAAGACGTAAAAAATTTAATAAAGATCAGCGCAATTTCTTTGCCAATTGAAAAAAAATTGTATGGGCTAAAAAACTTAATAAATTTTCTAAGACTTACATTAAAAAATCGAAATTTTAATGAATTGAATTGTTCTAAATTTTGTATTAAGTTTGAAACTTTGATTCATATGATTTTGGTTAAAGTGAGCATTATTTTTATAAAAAAAAAAAACAAAAAAAATGTTACTTCAAAAAATGTTTATTAAAAAAAATATGAAATCTTAGTAAGTACATTTTTATTCAACAGTCAAACGTTAAATAACTGATTGTCACAAATTTTAGATTTAATTACACACACTGAACTGAAGTACAATTTTAATTTTAAGTAACTTTTTAAATAAGATCTAAATACACATATAAATATATGTCTGAATAAAAATGGATTTATGAATTTGAAACGCAATCGAAGAAAATTAAATGTCATTATCTTAAGGCAATCTGTATTTTCTGTTTTCAATTTATGTATATACATACATACATACACCGAAAAATGTATTGGCACAGAGAATATTTCAAAGTAAATGCAACTATTTTTATTTTTGTCTGGAAATTTTTTTATAAAAATATGGTTAATGCTACAACAAAAAACGTAAAAATATAATTTCTAAAATTTATGCAAAGTTCAGGAAAGTTCAATAAATTTGCATACAGATTTGTAGCCCATTAAATTTTAGTATCAAACATGCAAGCTTGAAGTAGTTAAAAATCGCCTTGATTCAAAAAATTTATTGATCATTCCTGAGTTTTGCACAAATTTTATAAATTATATTTTTATGTTTTTACGTGTAGTATGATCATATTAACCAAAATAAAAAACTTATTGCATTTATTCTGCACCAATGCTTTTTTCCGGCAGTGTACATAGTGTGTTTGTAGGCATTCTACATTCCTTTCTCTGTAAGACATTGATGATTAGTTTATTTTCAATCACTAGAATAAGGTGTTCTTTGTTAGCTTCTGTGGATTCTATTTATCAATGCATTCTGTATTCGCTTCTATGAAAGGCATTGACGCTTCGTTTATTCTCAATAACTAGGAGAAGGCATTCTTTTATTCGCTTCTCTGGAATCTGTTTATCAATGCATTCTGTATTCGCTTCTATGGATGGTATTACTGCTTCGTTTATTTCCAATAACTAGGATAAGGCATTCTTTGTTCGCTTCTCTGGATTATGTATATCAATGCATTCTGTATTCGCGCTATGTAAGGCATTGATGCTTCGTTTCTCGTCAATCGTAAATGTAAAGTGTTCTCCCTTCGTTCGAGGGTAATGCTGTGGGTAAGAGCTTACCGCCAATGACATGCCCATGTTAAAATAAGGCCTTCCTGAAGCGAAAGCGTAAGCGATTCCCATCGCCTAGCTCGTTTACACTTTCGCTTCTGTGGTAATCGTGTTTTTTCCTGGGTTACTACAAGTCGTTAAGTTTATAAAATCCGGTGGCAAAGGACTGATAAACCTACTCCAGTTTGATAACGTGAAATTGCGGATGCTTTCCATTTCCAGACAACCGGTCAGGTACGAGCATGATTTTTAATTTCGACCAAATAATGAGACACTTATTTTTTCTTTTGTCTCGGAAAAATTTTTCGGCCGAATTAAACGCGATTTTGTTTTTCAGGCAAAAAGCGATTATTCGAATTGACAGTGAGAATTTTTTTTTTAAATGCCCATAACTTTGTCAAAATTTAATAGATTCCAACAATGTTTTTACTCAAATGTCACTAATTCTTGTCACTTCAAGATAGAATGACATAATTATTGATTTTCATTATTTAAAATTTTTTATTTAACAATAAACAAAGAGTGCAAATTTTTTTTTAATTTAATTTCTCAAAAAGTGTATTTTTTTTTCTCTCAAACTTTTTTACCGGGAAAGAGACACTTTGAACTACAATCAACCCAAATCTCTAATAGCGAAGATTTTTTTTTCTGAGTTATGATATTTTATAGAAAATATACGTTTTTGTGGTACATACTACAATATTATTATATTGTTTAACTAAATGGAACATATGTATGTAATATATCAGTCAAAAATACAGCCGTGATCATTTTTTGTGTATCAAATAGATATTAGAACACACTTTCCACCATACAGTTGCGAAATACAAAATCACATTTCCCCGCATTTTATAATATTTCCAAACAAAGACACGAAAATGGTAAATTCCATTAGTCCAGCTTGCATTTACTTACTTTTTTTATTTAAAACAGATTTTCACAACAGAAAAATAGTCGTGTGACTCATATTTGTGTATTACACATAGCAATTAAAGGAAAATCAATTAGCAATATTATAGTGCACAACAAAAGGACACGTACGAAAGCCACAAGCCATTTATGACATAAATGTCAAAAAAGCACAAGAACCATTTTGCCGAAAACAAAGTTAAAAGACAGTTAGAAATAAACACAACAAAGAGATAGCTGTTTGATAAAAATCAAAAAAGTGCAGGGACAAGACATGCAAACAAATCGGCAGCAAGAAAGCAACACGCACGTTCATGAACGTGATTTTGGAAAGTGCAAAGAAAGTGGAAAGACAAAGAAAACACTTAACTTAATAAATAAGTATTATACAATTCGCATGTGTAGGGAAGCATAGTAAATAGCACATGAAAGCAGCAATCAATGTTGCCCAAAAATAGTGCCATTAGTTGAATAAATAAACTAAATACAGGTAAATACATGAAAGTAGCGATTAGTGCCTTGAAAATAGAATAGAATGTCCCTAAAATTATGGTGATTGGTGAAAGGGGGCTGGGGATGGTATCTGTGACAAAATGTGTCAATAGCAGGCGCACGCTACGCATGAATGTGAGTACGAATATGAATATGAACGTGAACATGAATATGAAAATGAATACGAATGTGATTATGAATATGTGTATGAATATGAAATTGAATATGAGTAGATATGGATATGAAAATGAACATGAATATGAATATGAATATGAATATGAGTATGAATATGAATGTAAATATGAATATGAACATTAATATCATTATCAATATATGCGTGAATATGAACTCGAATATGAATATGAATATGAATATGAATATGAGTATGGATATGAATATGAATATGAAAATGAATATGTATATGAATATGATATTGAATATTAATACGAATTCTATAAGAATATGAATATGAGTATGAATATGAATAGGAATAAGAACATCAGTAAGAAGATATGGATACGAATACGAATGCGAATATACTACGTGGTAAAAGCACGAACACGAATTCAAATAAAACTATGAAAACTAATAAAAAATACTAATAGAAATATGTATTTTATGCATCCTGAAAACCATGCTTTCAGAGTTATCTAAATAGTACAGAAATATTGAAGAATTCGTAAATAATCAGTATTTCCCTTTTCGTCTTTTTGTCGAATGTTCTAAAATGAAATTTGCTGTGCCCACTTCGATTTTTTACGAAATTTTCGAAGAAAATCGGTAAAGAAATTAAATTAATGCTGCGATGTGAAGAACTTTTTCAAGAATTTCTTCAGCATTTGCTTAAGGAAAGCGTACCGTACGAGTACGTGTCAACCAGTTCATTTGATTATCTTTGAAGATTCGTAACGAAATCGGAACGCATTGCCGATACTCCTAAAGATTTCTTTAAGATTTCGGAAACTTTGGTTAACAGGGCAATTACGGATACGAATACGAATATACGAGTCTAAGTAGAAGTACGAATACGTATGCGAATAGGAATTTAAAAGTTTTGATAAACAAAGTATCTGAGCTCATTTTCTCACTTAAATGCTACATAACATTATAGGTCAGATTCCGGCTTTGAGGTTAGCTACGAACATTGTAGTGAAAAATTCATTTTATTTTTAACACTTTCGATTTTAGTTATAGTTCGTCTTGGTACTCTCAAACCGTTTTGCCATAATTTCTATTAATTTATGAGTGTGACATCATTTCACGCAATTCATCTTCAGAGCTTCGTATAGCATAAAGCTTTAATTGCATTTCTTGGCGTTAAATTTGATTTCAAATTATACGCACATCTAAGCCAATAAATTGCGTGTTAATGCCACTTGAGAATTGCATTGTTGCTAAGCAAAAAACACTTTATGCTATTCAATACACTGCTAACAGCTTTTATGTCGCTTACTTCAATGTGCTTTCGACATTCACCTCACTCAGCTGTCCCGCCTCTCATTGGTTAAAATTTTTTCATATTTGCAAGCGCTGTACAGGCCAGTTCAATGCATTGTCTTATCCCCTATGCATTTGAGTCACGAATGTTTTCATATACATACATATGCACATGTTACACTCGAGTCCATTCATACGTAAATACAGGGCCAAATAAGATCGACCAATTTCACGCAGCATGGAGTTGATGTAAGTATGATTTTTTAAAGAAATTAACTATACATGCATTGCATAAAGAAAATAACAATAATATTAAAAAATAAAGAAAATAACAATAATATTTAAACATAAAGAAGTTATACTTGTTTAACTTTGGTAGGTCTAATTTGGCCCACCCTGTACAAGCTCATCGCATCTAAATACTTATGCATTGTCCCGCGCCGTAATTGCTTAACGTAATTGATTGGCTTCGAAATTTGGCTTACACATTGTCTGTCCTTGGTGTGTGTTGTTGTATT